AAGTGGCAACAATGTCGGGCGACAATGAATTCAGGCGATTGACACATTGCCATGAATACACTCGATAACTGCTTGCAGACTTCCAGTGGTCATTGTTTATGTTTGGACTCATGAAACAATAGCAAAATAAAGGGTTGGGCAACTACTCTTTTGTTTAGGCTTGGGAAGAACAATGCAAGTTTTTAACAAATAATTTCAGCTGGATGTACGTTGCTGGGCGGGTGTTGAGAGTTACTAGGCGGCCGTACAGCTTGATGGGCGGGCCGCCCACCTAAAACCCCTTGTGGAGAACACTGTTTCTGTGACATCAAATCTGTGATAACTCGGTGAACATTTTCCTTTTGCAGCAATTTTATTTTTTTTATCCATTCTCAACGAGGAAAGAACAGACCTGGCAGTCTCTTGTTATGACAGCTACATATAACAACTAAGAGCCAATCAAATTTGAAAAAAAAAAAATGTGTATTAAAATGACATGAAAAATGCAATCTACGATTTCCCACAACACAAGGGACATCTTTTATAAATTTATAAAAAAAATAACATGGCGTCGAAGAGTTGATAGAAATGACAGCGGAATTGAGACGTGTGTACCTACTTCATCAGCAATTCAACCGTTAACCTATTGAGACTAACTGAGAACATCTACAATTCATTAAAGCACGTATACATATCATCATTGCAATGAAACATCTCTTTGAAATGTCACGTCACGTATCGTTGTTAAACAGACACCCAGGAGTCACTTGAAAGCAATGATACAGAAAATTATTTTAAAATATTTAAATTTATGTAAATAAACAATTTACTTCACACACACACACCCCATGGGACATAAACCAAACATGATGTGTTGGGACAAGAAATTTGCACAACATTGAAATATCATGTTTCTGGTCCAATTGGCTTTCAAAAATGGTGCAGTGAAGCATTTCTTTTTTGCTAAAATATTTGCAGGTTTATAAATCGTCAACAGACGACGTTAGTGACGAAATAAATGAAAAGATTTGCTACATTCAAGATGGCGGCCCCCATATAGTAAATATCGTATTTATTTATTATCACGTGTGCGCCATCTGACTGTGATTGGTAAAACATATAATGAAGCCGTTGGTAATCTGAGCATGACATCTTTGGGAAAAGGTCACAGTTCAATTAACCTTTTCACCACCAGACTTTTTTGCCCAATTTTTTCTGCACTTATCTTTATATTTTTCAATATTTCTGGAAATGAACCCCAATAAGCCAACAGGCAAAATTTGAGTAAATATTTACTCATAACATTTGGCTATTTTTGTCCCAATCTTCTGAAGGAAAGTTACTATATACGGGGATTATTTTGTGATGAAAAAAAGGGAACTGGTGATGAAAATCGGTTTATGTCTACATGTGTCCTTTAGCTTGAATACGTTCAGTAATTGTGGTGTGTAAAACCAATAAATCTTAAACACAAAGTAATTACTGTTAATATATCTCACTAAATTATATTTTAAACTGATTTTTAAGGTCACTGTGACCTTCTGTCTAAATAACAGCTGTGAAAATTTCACTACAAAATTTTTTTTTTTAATTTATAAAAATTTGTCTTCGATGAAATTAAACTTAATGACTGCATCCAATTTGATTAGCTGAATAATACAACAGTTGACGTTGGCGCTAAGCAGGATATCACAGTCAAAGTCAATTTACTACAAGAATGACAATAATGATGTTGATTTCCATGGCGATATGCAACAATAGTTGCCACTCAGCTGGAGTAATAAAGTACACAGTTCGTACAGCGAATAAAACTGTCACTGTGACGAACTCGAAAAGCCGATTGTCGTCATTTGAACCATGCAACTAGAAATCAGCGTATGCATATTCATCGGGAGGGGGCAGGTTATCGTCAACTTAGTTTTCATTTTTTCTTTCCGATTGATAATTTACAGTAGTATCTTTTCACCGCCAGACTTTCTTGCCCAAATTTTATATTTCTTCAATATTTCTAGAAATAAACCCTAATTTTGGACAAAATTAGAGTCAATTCATGTTTTTAAAATGTGGCTATTTTTGACCCAATCTTCTGAAGGTAATTGGAGATTATAAACGAGACTATTTTGTGAATTTGTGATGAAAAGTGGGAACTAGTGGTGAAAAGGTTATAGCATGTTCATGTCCGCAGAAAGATTGCGGGGACAATCCCTTCAACAGTCAGTGATGTAAAATATAAATCTGATTGATGTCTAGAGAATAGACAGTTAATTTATTGTGTTGTAAATCTTATTGACACACAAGAAATGCTTATATTTATATAGCTGGTCACAGTGAGTGTATAGTAAGGGCAGCGTTGTGATCGTATTCCTATTGTAACAAGTAACTGAAATCTTCTCGATAAGAGCAGCCTTTAAATAAGACTTGCTCTCATTGAACTTTCGAATAAATCAATAGAGTCTTGATTCTTACCCATTGGGAGATGGAGGGTGTTGCAAATCACTGGTGCGGGAGATCGTGTGGAGATTAAGTTGGCGGAAATGCAAGTCAGCATGGCTTAGAAGATTAATATGCAGTCAGTAAGTGGAAAGTGATTTTACTTTATGTGTGTGTGTTCTTTGGGTAATATTTACATTTTGAAAATATAATCAAAAGGGGAATAGATAATCGTAGTCAGATCCAAAACCATGCTACGCTTTTTCAGAATTGAAGCGAACCACAATCTATCGCTAAATTCAGACTGCATG